ATCAACATGTGCTTAGCAGCAAGAAACAGTAGTGAGAATAAGGTGTCCAAAGGTCTGGGATAGTTTCAGTGCAGACAGTTTGTGTGAATACATCCCGCTCTTGCAAACTACTACCATTTGGGTTTTAGCTATTCTACCTGCTTCTTCTACACTAGTAACTGTAATTGTACAAGAAAAAAGGGTGCCACAGATTCTGAAGAAGAAAAAGAAAGCTCAGCTAAAATGGTAGTTCCAATTCAATGCCAGTTGAAATGCCAGTTTTCATCATGCTGATTTTGTTTTCAGATACCCAGTTTGGTGTAATGGTTAAGGCACAGGCTAGAAACCAGGAAACTGAGAATTCTAGTCATACCTTAGGTACAAAGGCAACTGGGTGACCTTGGAACAATCACTCTCAGTCTGAGAAAAGAGGTTGTGGCAAACCATTTCTGAAAGAACTCCAGTGAGTACAGTAGTCCAGGCAGTTGCCAAGAGTTAAAAACTGACTTGAAGACACAATAAATCTTTTTTTTTAATTTTCTCAATCTGCGATTGAAGTAAATGGCCTCTGTGACAACTACTACCGTGTTCCCCCCAAAATAAGATCCTGTCTTATATTTTTTTTAACCCCGAAATAAGCACTTGGCTTTATTTTCGGGGAGGTCTTATTATTTTGGGGCACTTAGAGCAAGATGGGGGTCCTCTTGCCATTTTACCTGATTTGCAGCTCTGCATTTAAATATTTTTCGGGAGGGCTTATTTTCGGGGGAGGCTTATTTTAGTGCATGCACTCAAAAGCCTGATTGGGCTTATTATCAAGGGATGTCTTATTTTTGGGGAAACAGGGTACAGAACTATAATGTATGAATAACTTAAATAAACAGAATATTTTTCGTGTGATTTCTACCACAAAAAACTCCCTCCTGTTGTATTGGCTAATGAAAGCTTAATCTGCAAACAGTAAATTCCTTCAAATTTATTTTGTACCATTTGAGAAGCTTTTACAGGCAGTCATATTATTGTGACAGTTTTTGCCACTATGCAAAATTCATTTCAAAAATTGAGATATCAATGATCGTTTGCAGCACATAAGAAAAGCAATCCACATGTCTGCTTAATTATGTAACTTATTATTCAGCCATATGTGTTTTTAAAAATGTGGATTATCTCAAGGGTGATCGTAGGAAAAATGAAAATGAATGATTAATTATGTTTTCTTATGCCAAAACGCCAGCTGTTAGTTTGATCATATGCCACATACTGAAAGCAATTGTGATCTATCAGATGGGAAGAGTGAGACAAGATATCATAACTGTGAGCCAGAAATCCAGAGATTGGAATCTCCAATGGCCAGCAACATTTTGTGGGCTGAGGAAAAGATATATATCACTGTCATCTGGAAAAGAAATGTTGCCTTTTTATTAACTGTCTGAAATGGGAAAAAAAAGATAGACGCTATAAAAATCTTAATGGATACAAATCAATAACTTATTTTATAAAAATAGTGAACTCGGTGTTGATATGGCGACAGTGGTAATGGAGGCATGGTGAAGAATTCCAAATGGGTCTTTTTTTTCCAAACAAGATGGTGAATAATAATCAATATTAATAAATAAAAAAAACCTCGCATATTTGGGAACATATCTACAGTACTGGATCTTCAGTACTTTACTGAAAGTAGGTGCACATTTTTGCACCAGCTCTAGACTTCTTGACAGCACAACTGGTAATGTTCATCGTATTAGACATTCACAGTAAAACTTTGGGGTTTCTTCTGTAACATGTGAAATGCTGGACTTGTCGATAGTCTGGTTTCCCAATCGATAGGAACTCTTTAATACTGTGCTCCCATGAGTCCTTGGAGAATATGGTGATGTAAAAATATAGCAGTAAATAAATACATGAATTCTTGCCTTGCCCTGCCTCCAGAACTGAGAGCAATAATTACTTTCTCTTCCACTGGCTCAACTTCAAAAATGCACCTTTTCAAGGTTTCAAACCAGTAGCCTGCATTTTGCAGTTTGTTTTTCTCCTCTGGGATTTAGCCTGAGGAAACAGGTAGAACTCTTATTGATTTCATATTCTCTTGCTTAGCCCGGGCAAGTGTGCACCTTCACAGAATTGCAAGTTTCTGCAAACAGTTTGGGGAAAAAAATGCAGCTGCAATAAGCAAATATTATTAAAAACATGTTGGGAAATACCAACAAAGCTATCCTTTTATTTGCAAAGCCCCCTGTTGCTTTTAAATTAAAAAAAAATGAAAAAATGACAGCTGTGTGGGGATAGGTCTTAAATTTAATTTATAAATAGCCAGATAATTGGTTGGATGCAATACGTACTTAAAAAATGGATGGGGAAGCACTAATAATTTATTTGCTTTTTAAAATATGTAGAAAGGATTAGGACATTTTTATTACTTTTAGAGCTGAGGGGACAGCACATTGATTAAATAATGTTGCTCTACATTCTTTTATGGTCCCATGGGGAAACTGGAAAGATTGTTGTTTGGCTGATGGTGTTTATTGCCTCTTCCCAGGTTTTTTAGGTCAGCAGGACTGAAAAGGATTGCAGATCTCTTTTATCCTGTTTTGGAAGATTTGTGAAGTGAAATTGATGGCAGTCTATAGGAGTAAATGTTTTTTTAATAGTAAATTTCCTGTCAGGAAAAGATTGACCATATCATAATAGGTAGAATTTACAGTGGACTGTATTTATATCAAGTCTTTTTTTCCCCTTGCATAAAAAAACTTTTCTTGTAGATTTGCATATTGATTCAGGTGGGCTTCTACATTTTATCCCGATATGATTCTATTGAAATGTTCAATCATGCTTAATTATCAAGGCATTAGATTCATAAGCTACCTTTCCCTCAGCAGCTCTTGAGGGCATAGCAGGGGTGGCTTCTACTTACCTTTACTACTGGTTTACAGCGGGGCCGCGTGCAGGCGCTCTTCTACGCATGCGCAGAAGCGTTTTGTTGATATCGGGATCGGTGGGCGGAGCCTCCCGCCAGTTTTACTACCAGTTATATAGAACCGGTGCGAACTGGGGGCAACCCACCACTGGGGCAAGGTAGGCCTTTCTTCACTGATTTTGGATTGAAGAATGCAGTGGAATATCAAGACATTGTCTCTATTGTTTCTGATGAAATAGCAGATTTAAGCCATAAATGTGCCTATTCTGCATTCATTTGATAATTAGAAATTACAATCCGGTGCCAAATTTTGGAAAGGTTCAGAGAGGTACATCCAGTAATTAATGAGAGGCAACTATTGGATAAAAAATCTTTCCATGAATATGATATGAAAATTTATTTACAATCACTGGTATGATCTCTCTCTGTTACTTCTGGTGGAAAACACAATACCTATGAAAAAGGTCTGGAATATAATTTTTGGTTTTGAATTTGTATTGGTGATTTCCCATGGTTTATGATTTATAAGAGAATACCACCAACCATTGTGTGCAGTGATTTTTTAAAAAATAATTATGTATTAGTACTCTTTTCTAATGATTTTTCACTGTGGACAGGGCCATCCAAGAGAAAGTCAATAAGGCTGTTATGACTTTATGATTAAAGCTGCACTCCCTTTTTTACATCAATGTCAGTAAAACTTCAGTTTTATGGTCTTAACCATCATATTGATTTTTTCCCCGTACACTTTTCTAGAAGTGCCTCTGAAAGTGGGACTTTGCTGTATATGACCAACTATAGGTCAAAATCAAGAATGAAATATTAAGAAAATGTTAATTTCTGAGATTTTGTTGCTGCTTTATAAATGTTATCAATGAATGTTTCTTTTTCATGCATAGTAGGGAGTGGCACAAGTTAACACATTTACATGGAGCTTTCTAGGAAAGTTCCAGAGGTGGATTTCAGCAGGTTCTGATCAGTTCTGGAGAATCAGTAGCAGAAATTTTGAGTAATTTGGATAACTGGTAAATACCACCTCTGACTGGCCCCACCCCCATCTATTCTCTGCCTCCCCAGTCCCAGCTGATCACGAGGAAATGGGGATTTTGCAGTAACCTTCCCCTGGAGTGGGGAGGGAATGGAGATTTTACAATATCCTTCCCCTGGAGTGGGGTGGGATGGAGATTTTACAGTATCCTTCCCCTGCCACGCCCACCAAGCCATACCACGCCCACCAAGCCATGCCCACAGAACCGGTAATAAAAAGTTTTGAATCCCACCACTGGAAAGTTCACATTGTTTGGTACAAGTCAGCAGATGTTCCTGGTATAATCTGATACAGTAGCTGTATTTTTTAATTTCTGTTTCTTAATATGTAAGAAAAACTTCAGTGCTTGATCTAATGAGACTCAAGCTCTGTCAAGTTCCAGCCATCTTTAACAGCTCAGCTGAGTTAAAAAAATTACTGCTACAAATAAACATTTTGTGATGCACTTTAATCTATGTAGCCAGTTGAAGAAGGTATTATGACTAGAATTGGTTTGTTGTTTTTTATTGGAATCAAATCTGTCCTATTATAAAATGTACAGGTGAATGCTAGTACATGTTTGGGGGATTCACCATTCATTGTCATAAGAATTGCAGTAAGGATAAGTGCACCTGGATAAGCTATAGTCTTATAATCAGAAAAAATAAGTCTAACATTATTAGACTCTTCCAAAGGGTAACAAATGTGGTAACCATTTATAGCACTGAAAAACAAGCTACTGCAATCATACCAGTGGTGGGTTACCCTGGTTCGGACTGGTTCGCAAGAACCAGTAGTAAAACTGGCAGGAGGCTCCGCCCACTGACCCCGATGTCATCAGGAAGCTTCTGTGTACAGCCCCATTGCGAACCTGTAGTAAAGTTAAGTGCAACCCACCCCTGAATCATACTTATACCAGTTTACATTGTAGGTATTTAAACATTGCACATTCAAGGTTTATTCAGTACTGAATCAACACATTACAAATTTAGTAGTGAATTTCAGGGGAAACTATTCAGCAAACTAAACCAGAAGGTGCTGTAGAATGATAGTTTCCCCCCCCCCCTACTTATTTTATAGGTCATAATGACTACATGTGCCCTGCTACCAACCAGTGTACCATTGACAAGAACAGAAGGAAAAGCTGCCAGGCTTGTAGGCTCCGAAAATGCTATGAAGTTGGAATGATGAAAGGTGGTATGTATTGCGTTATTAGTCTTAACCTGTATTACAAATATTTTTCATCCCCTGTAATCCCATATGTGGCTCCCTTGTCAATAATTAATCACATTGCACCTTGTAATATTTACCTTCAGGTAAATTGGAATACGGTTATAGTTCAACTAACGCTTATCTTCAATGCATAATCCCTATTTTTGAAGTTTTTATGTAATCTCACTTTTAAAGGAAGGAAAGAAAACTCCATACAGGTTTTGAGGTACCTAAATTGAGGTAGTCCTCAATTTACGATCAAAATTGAGCCCAAAATTTATGTTGTTAAGTGAGAAATTTGTTAAGTGAGTTTTGCCCCATTTTATGACCTTTCTTGCCACATTTGTTAAGTGAATCACTGCAATTGTGGATAAGTCAAAAATTTTAGATGGCAAAATACTTCCTCCCAAATGGAGTTCAACATACAAGTAATCCTCGATTTACAACAGTTCATTTAGTGGCCGTTTGAAGTTAGAATGGCACTGAAAAAAAGTGATTTATGACCGTTTTTCACACTTATTTAATTTTATATATTTTTTATTGTAATTTTTCCTTTTCCAAAACTCTAATACATAATCAAACAGACATATGAACTGTTAATCCAACATCTATAAAAATGACACTGTCCGTTTTTCACACTTATGACCGTTGCAGCATCTCCGTATTCAAGTAATCAAAATTCAGATGCTGGGCAACTGTCTCATATTTATGACGATTGCAGTGACCCAGGGTCATGTGATGCCCTTTTGTGACCTTCTGTCAAGCCAAGTCAACAGAGAAGACAGATTCATTTAACAACCATGGTACTAACTTCACAACTGCATTGATTCATTTAACAACTGTAACAAGAACTCTTAAAATGGGGTAAACCTCACTTAACAAATGTCTCACTTAGCAACAGAAAATTTGGGCTCCATTGTGATCGTAAGTTGAGGACTGCCTATATCTGTGAGCATATATGGTAATGCATTTAAAAAGTAGCAATATATCTTCATGTACAAGCCCATATGCAAATAAGCTCACCCTTGAATTTTTAACCAAACTACTATGAAAAATACAGGGTGTCTTATCTGTGGGTGGTATATTTTTAATGGTATTTTTGTTAATATTTGAGGTTCGGCTTATCCATAGATGGGCTTCTACATGAGTATATATGGTAAAGCTTCCGTCCTTTTTCCCCTTCAAAATCAATTCTACATCTCACTTAATTTATGTTAGGATTTCTGCTATTCTGTAACACCTAGATAGAAATTGTGAATGGGGCTGATGATTATCATCTTCCTTTAAATAGACAAGTGCTTTTGATTAAATGGTTTTTCAATAAATGCTGTGAAAATCAATATGACTTAAGACTAATTCACAGTCCTTTTAGGTTTTGATGATGAAATGTTGTACACATGGTAAGTAGTGATTTCCCATAACTGGAAATACAATTTCTGTAATGGAAAAATAAACATGACTGATTATTAACTAGATGTAAAATGGCTATTATTAACCCATAGGTTGGTGTTTACAAATAATCATTTAACTGGTCCTTTTTATAAACTTTGGTTAGAAAGAGAAAACATTCCTTAGATCTCATTATCTTCTCTAGTACATTCCCAGTATTCGTTTTAAAGGCTATGTGATATGTCAGCCTATGAGAGAACTAAATTCATAATTTATTTCCATTTTGAAGATCATAATCTTAATCTTACCCAAACACAACTAAATTTAAGCATTGTTACTGAAAGCAGTCTTTTAGAAGCTCGTTTGTTTATTAGTTAATTAATTACATATTTTTTTTAAAAAATTACTATTAGTCCATACTGAAGAAGCTTGCAGAGATTAATTATTTTAGAGAAACATCAAGATTCACATTTGACTCAGTGAAAATGTTTTAAATTAAAACCATTAGTTATTAATTCACAATGATTGTCTTTAAAGATGGACATTTATTCCCTGTGGAAAACAGTTCTTCAAAAGTTTATATCTATCCTTTCCCTGTTTTCTGTCATGATGAGATTATATTGAATGACAAATAAAACAAGGGAAACAGATGTTTTATTTTTATTTTTTTCCCAGAAACACAGATACATTCATTTTAATGCATCATCTGAACTGATTCCAAGAATTCTAATTTGCCATTCAATTATTATATGCTTCAGTATTACAGTATACTTAAAATAGTAAAAGGGAGAAGTGCAGAAAACTATTTGTATTGCTCTGAACTGACTGACTATAATATCTACAAAATAAACCTGTTCAAATGCAAACTGGTAGAGGTGAAGGGCATCATTATACTTATCAGTACTTGTGTGTTTGCAGAACCAATTAGTTGAAACATCATTGTCAAAATAAAATTTCCTTCAAAGGACTGTTCATCCTCCGCATACACAATGTGCTTGTTATGTAAATGTTTGTCACAGTGAAAAATCTATGATTATGTCAGCTCTTCACTTTTCTATGGTGTAAAGGATATACTAAATGCAGAAGTGATTTTGCAAGAGCTGTTTACTTTAAATAGGCTACTGGCTGGTTAAGCGCATTTGCATTTTTTGCTTCTGTGTTTATAAACTTGCTTTTCTGACTTTTCTCTGACCAAGGCCCCTGTGATTTAGCTAGGAGATTAAGTGTGAATAGGGAGGTATAGTCTAAGTAGAGATCTTTGCCTCTCTTAAATAAAGGCCAAATGTAAAATTGAAACAGATATCTCTGAAGGTATCTTAGTCTCTTCTGAAGTAAAGGGAATCTTGTCTCAAGCAGAGAAAATTTTGCCTATCTCTGTGGACCCATGTAAGAAGGCTTCCTGGCTACATACATGCCCTGGTTACGTGCATGCCCTGGGTTTCATCGTCCTCTTCAGATAAGGAGATGTCAGAGGATAAAAATATGGAATTTGAGATTCCTGTCTTGATCAAAGATTCAGAGCTATATCGGATCCAGTCTCTGCATCATCGCATGGATCTGCATCTTAAATTTCTTATCTTGATCTCTAAGACCATCACTTCCAAGTGGAGGAACGGAGGGTGTTGAGGAATTCGCAGAGCAACCCTAGAGTAGCAAGGATGTGCACATAAAAGCGACTGGGAGCAGTTGCAAATAATCACAGCCAACACACAGATACATTGAGTTGTGTTTACTTTTAGGAAATAGCAATAAGGCACAGTCCAGTAAACAGTCCAGGTCATACACAGATAAAGCAGTAGATAATAAACAATAGTCCAGGGATATTCCAATAACAAAGTCTTCTTACCAGTTGTTGAAGTCATACACAATAAACAGTTGCAAACAGTAGCAAACACAGCAAATAGCAGTAACGATCAATAATGGTCAGCAAAGATCAGCAGAGAGTAGCAGAGAGAAACTAACCATGTTTCAAGCTTCCTCTTAAGAACATTGGCTACACAGCTAACCAATCAGGACACAGTATGATGCAATATAGCAATACAGTCTTAAAGCTATATTGAGGTTTATATATTGCCAACCCAACAAGTTAGTAAATTATCATTTCCTAACATTCTCCCCTTTGGGTAGGATGATATATAATATCTGACATTCTTAAACCATAATTATCACAACATGATTTGTGCTTAATTGCACCCTGAGCCTTTGTAAAATGATCTGCAATATTATGTTCAGTCATGCAGTACTCTAACTGAATCAATTTATTTTGTACACACTGTCTAATGTTTAAATATCTCAAAACAGTATGCTTAGACCGTGTTTTTACAGCTAAATTTGTAGCCATGTTAATTGCAGATTGATTATCTTCATAAACTATAAATGGATCATTCACATTTAATCCTATATCAATTAATTGTTTATAATATATCAATTCAGTGCATATCAAGGATAAACATGAAAATTTGGCTTCCATAGTTGATAAACTAAGATGCTTTTGCCTAATAAATTTCCATCCTATTAAACAATTACCCAACATTATCACAATACCTGATGTTGATTTACAAGTAGGAAATCAGTTGCAAAACTTGCATCAGCATATGCCTTTAAAACTAGGTCACTAGTAGGCTCTAAATATAATGAAAAATGAATCGTTTGTTTCAGATATCTAAGTATTTGCTTAGCAGCTTGCCAGTGCCGTTCAGTAGGTTCAGCATTATATCTAGTCAGTTGGTTCACACTATAAGATATATCTGGCCTAGATCAATTACTCAAATATGATAGACTGCCTATTAAGGATTGATATATTTCCTTGTCGAATACAGGACTTTGAATATCACTGTGTTTAAAATCCTGACTCATTGGTGTTTTAGCAGACTTACAGAGTTCCATGTTGTAACATTTCAGTAATTGGCTAACTTTCTTGGCTTGCGAAATTTTGTAACTTTTACTAGTTTTAACTACATCAAGACCCAGATAATGCATAATTTCTCCCAAATTCCTAATTCTGAACTTCTTTTGCAACTTAGAAACAATTTTGGTTGCTTCGTGTTCAGATTTTGTTATAAGTGCTATATTGTCAGTAAATAGCAATAATAAAGAAATTAAACCATCTTTCTCTTTCTTGAACAAACATGGATCAGCTTTACCAGCTACAAAACCCATTGCAATTAATTCATTAACTATACATTTGTTCCATTCGTAACTTGACTGCTTTAAGCCATAAAGACTCTTCAATCTCCAGCAATCAGTCTTCCCATCAGTTTTCAAACCTAGTGATTTCTTCATATAGATTGTATGTTGTAATGGCGCATGCAGATATGCGATTTCAACATCTATATCATTTATCTTGTATCTATTCTTAGCTGCCCACACTAATGCTGCTCGCAAAGTAGTCACCCTCAGACTCGGTGCAAACACTTCATCATAGTCCTTGTCTGACTGAGCAAATCCTTGAGCAACTAATCTTGCCTTATGGGTAACAGTCCCATCTATGCTAGTTTTTAGTTTATAAACCCACTTACAACTAATTGCATGCTCACTTGGTGGTAACCTAACATTCTCATACACATCCAACTCCTTCAATGAAGTCAACTCTTTGT